TGAACTTTTAACTAGTTCACGTAGAAAGGTTGTACACTGGTTGTACTACATTGGGTAGAGTGAAAAACAGTTTGTTATTTCATCTTTACGATTCATTGTCCGTCATTGGATTTCCAACTTGAAGATAATAATATGGTAATATGTAGCCAACATTTGGAAGGAGAAGATGACTTGGATAATAAAAGCGCCAGATACAACACTGGGACTTGATCAACAGTCGATACCGCACCGTGACGTCACAAACCAGTAGGTGGCAGTAGTGTTCTTTGACAAACATGGATGCCTCCACTAAAGCACATTCAGATGAAAATGATTCTTATGAACAGTATGTAATAATTTCATATTTAAAGTACTTTCAGGAGTTTGAATTCTGTATATAACCAAACTTTTCCTTTAAAAGTCACAATAAGATAATGAGTGTGGATATGCATGATGGTGAAATCGTTGTGAAGCAGGACGCCTCACCAGCTCCGTCTTGCACCAGGTGATGCAGTTACTGGGGATTTTGCAGAAGGTGCATTCTCCAGGTATCTTCACTTTAGCCTCCGTTGCACACTCCCTTTGGTACTCTGGTGACATCACCCTCTGCAAACACTTGGAGAAGTACTTCTTGGACCCCACCTTTACATACACCCTGAGGCATGGCAGATTCTGAATAAACATTCATTTATGGAGTCATGTATTGATTTTTACTGATTACTCTTCTTACCCCTCATAATGTCCTGCAAGAGGCAGAGGAACTCTGCCTCCACGATCCAGGGCATTGCTTATGTTGATCATTTCCAAGGCCTCATTGTTCCACAGCTTCTGCAGATCCTGCTTTATCTCAATTTGAACAGAAGAGGGCAGCACCTTCTCAACTTCTCTCAGCTGGATGAAGAACTCTGCTTGATAGGGCAGCAACTTTTCTGTAGGGAAAAATCTGCCATTTAATGCTTTTCTAGTCTGCTTGATTCTTCCTAACTTGCCTATTATTGTTCATTCACTCGTATAAATAAAAAATAAATAAATGAATAATAATAATAATAATAAAAAATACACACCTGGAATAACTTTGATGACAAGAAGCTCTCTGGCTGCATCATAGCTGATTTTGTTGATTGCATAAATCTGTGAGGGAAGGTGATGCTTAGTTAACAGAAGATTAATGAGGTTAGTAGTGTGTGGAAATTAAAACAAAAAACAGGACAATATTAGATAGATATTTAGATGCGAAGTAACGAAGTACAAATACTTTGTTATACTGTAATATAATACTGTACTCAAGTAGATTTTTCTGGTATTTTTACTTTACTTTACTACTTATTTTTATGG